AGCGGGGAACGCACCTGGCGGGCCGCTCGGGGGCGGCGGCGGCGGCGCTGGCGGCGGCACTTGCGGCGGCTGTGCCGGGGGCCAGGCTCGCGGCCCAGCTTTCAGGTGGCGGCGGCCACACCCCTGACGCGCCCGTGGGCCCTTAGTCCCCTGCCGTCGGGTGACTGCGGCCCTGCCCCTCCGCGCCGCGGGCGGAAAGGCGAACAGGGGAGGACGTGGGGGGGGGGGGGGAAGGGGGGGGGGGGCAAGGAAGGGTGGGGACAAGGGGGTGGGTAGTGCAAGGGGCGGGAGGCGAGGAGCGGGAGCCGGAATGCCACCTCCAGAAAGCTTTGGAGCCTCACCTAAGTTCTGGCTCCCTTTGGAAAATCGAGAGCCACACGCTGGGTTTTAGGTCCCTAGCCCTTGCTTCTTTATACATGGCCAATGGGGGCTCAGGAGTCGCCCTCAGACCCAGATGGGTCCCGGAGGCCTGGTTTCTGGGCCACAGTGTGTTTGCCAAGGTGCAGCCTCAGGTAGGACATAAGACGTGGCAGACGTGGCGTGTGCTGGGCAGGTAGGTTAGGATGGACGGGGCTGTGAAGCCAAACAGAAAACTTGACCGGTTTCTGTCTGTCTCTGAGCCTGGCTAAAGGAGTCTGGAAACCCCATGCTTAGTGAGCTGTCAGATGCTGATTATTAAACCGTGATTCTCCGGGTCCAGCCGGGAAGGACTGCTGGACAAGTGGTGAGGATGATAGCAAGGGAGGTGACCCGAGCAGGGAGATCTGGAAGAGTCGATAATCTTCAGTTTATGCCTTATTTGTATGAGGGTGCCCAAGAAGAAAGGAGACTCATCTGATCACCTGGTGTAGCTTATCTCAACAAGTCACAGGCATTCCTGGTCACAAAGTGTGTGCTCACGTGTTTTCAAGGTTTTCTGTTTTGATGAATTTGAAATTCTTTATTTAACTGCACTGTCATCAAATACAAACCGTCACCTATGTGAAACACGGAGCAGTTCCAGTCTCTCCTCTTAACAGTTCAGTCTCTCCTCTTAACCAGAAAATAAAAATAATCTTTTAATTAAAAAGAAAAAAGAGGGAGGGGCGCCTGGGTGGCTCAGTTGGTTGGGCGGTGGACTTCGGCTCAGGTCATGATCTCGCAGTTTGTGAGTTGGAGCCCGGCGTCTGGCTCTGTGTTGACAGCTCAGAGCCTGGAGCCTACTTTGGATTCTGTGTCTCCCCTTCTCTCTATCCCTCCCCTGCACAGACTCTGTGTCTCTCTGTCTGTCAATAATAAACTTAATTTTTTTTTTTTTAAAGAGAGGGAGAAAACCACATGCTCACGGGGGGGGGGCGCCCCCCCAACCTATATATGTGTAACCCTCAATTAACAGTCTCTTTAAACTTTTAATAACCCTGTTGCCCACGTATAACGTGTGAACTCTGAGACATTCAAGGTTCCTTGAAGTTCCTCACAATGTGATCTTGGCCCTACTCTTCCAGGTTCATCTCTTTGGTGCTCTATCCAGCTTCACTGAGTTACTTTTTTCTCAAACTATCTGGGGCAAAGGACAAGATTTTATTGTAACAGTCGTGGACTGTAATTTTTGTAAGATACAATTAAAAACTTGCTAGAAAAAGTAAAAACAAGACATAAAAACTACAAGCCCCAGTTTTCATTATGAGTGTACAAGTATAAAGTTACTCTTTCCATTTGTCTTTTTCTTCTAACTTCTAAATGTTTACTCTTGATTTCTGTATTTATCTCATCATGGACTAGTAAAAACAGTTCACAGATTGGCAGTGATGACCATACTTGAAGTGGCACTGTCTTGCTGTTCTTTAAATGTGCCAGATGATTTTAAACTTCTGGGCCTTTGCTCATGTTCTTTAGTGCTGATCAAAGTTCTTGTCACTCAAGGTTCAACTCATAATGTAATAGTAATAATATCTTAATATTTATCGAGTGCTCTATGCTAAGACTTTTATGCATTCACTATGAATTCTTATGAGCTAGGTAGTATTATTATTATTTCTACTTTACAGAGAGAACACTAAGGATCAGAGAAGTCAAATCACACAACCAGTGAGGCACAAAGCATTCTAAATTGAGCAGGCCTGATTCCAGAGCCCATGCAGTCAACCATGATGTTTGGCCCTCCTCCATAAAACCTCCCATTTACTTTGGAATTAAAGTTAATCACTCCTTACTTACACTTCTACCATATATTTTTCCCCATTGGTTTTCATTCACATCTGTTTCCTACACTAGGCTTTCAGCTTCTGAGTACAGTGACGTTTGCGTATCTCCATGGCTGTTAGTGTTGCTTTCTCCAACTGGAACGTCCTTTATGCCCTCAATTCTGCTCATCATAGCCACTGGAAAGCAAGCCCTTCCTCATCTTTGTATTACCATATATTTTGTGCTTAGTTCATGCTGTAATTATTTATGTCTGTATCCCCTATTAGACCACAGGCTACCCAGGACATTCAGTTATCTTATCAAAGATGGTTTTATTTATTTAATTGAACAAGGACTTCCATAGCACTTATGATGTGCCAAGCACTATTCTCAGAGCTTTACAATTACCTAAACAGCCCTGTAGGGTATGTATTATTTTATCACCACTTAACCCGTGAGGAAACTGAGGCACAGAAAAATTAGTAGGATACTAGTAGGTGGCAGAGTCAGCATTCCAAGCCAGGCAACCTGGCTCCAGAGTTGATTTCTCAACCATCATGTTGTACTGGTTTTCCACCAGACCATGTGGTCTTCCTGCTGAAAACACTTCAGTGGCTTTCTACTCCTCTTAGGAGAAAAGTGAAACTCCTTGGTAGGGCCTTTAAAACTCTGTGTGGTCTTAGCTCTGCACTTGCCTCTCCCACCAAGCTTCCTGGCTGCCTTCTAGCCACACTTGTCTTCTTTGCCTTACTCCTGAGGTTCATGCTCTCTCTGACCACAGCACACATTGTTCCTTGGGCCTAGAATGCTGTTCCTTCACCTTGTTCCTTCCTCAGCCCAAAATTATCCTTCAGATTTTAGCTCAGGAAAATCTTCTTAGACTAGGTCAATTATCCTAGTATACATTTTTAAAGCATTTTTTGTTTTTAACAAAGTTATCATTTTATATTTTATATGTGAATATTTGACTAAGGTCCGTCTTCCCCGTTCAGCACTGTAAGCTCCATGACCACCGGAACTATCTGATTGGCCAACCTTTATATTCTCAGCAACTACTGGTATCTGACACAGAGTAGGCAGTGAGGAAATATTCAGTGAATAAATGAAGAAGTAAATAGTATTCAGAGTGTTATGAAAACTTAGAAGAGTCACAGTATTGTGCTGGTAAATGTTTACCAACCAGAGAGACCTGATTTGTACCATTTGCCAACTTCTATGGTATAAATACTCTCTCCATGGCCAATTTCAAAATGCCAATATGACCTCACACAACGCTGGAGTTGGGAGGTGATGTGAGCACTTGGCTTTGAGAGGCTGTACCAGTTGGCTCCAGTACACCATTGGATGAACACCAAGGTGGTGTGGCTGAGAGTGGTGCACAAAGCCCAGGCAAGCTGCTTAGGGAACTGAGGTGAGATCTGAAATATGAATAGAACACAGGCTTGGGAGGTGGACACGTGTGTGGGACAAACAATTGACAAGGCAGGTGGGGGTTGGAGAAGGAACAAGGAAGGTCAGTGGGGCTGACATGTACATTTGAAAAGAGTGTTGTAAATCTGGGTACGGTTCAGTCTTTATCCTTATGGGGAGCACCAAACTTGTGTAAGCAGGTGAAGTTAGCATTTTGAAGAGACATCTCTGACTGCCTTTGCCCAACGGGCTGGGCATAGTATGTAGCCACCCAGAGAAGAGATGCTGGTGAACAGAATCAGGACAGAGATGAAGAGAAAGTGAAGGCAGCTGTGAAAGGGAGCCTGGGTGGAGGTGTTTTGCATGGAAATATGGCCCAAACGGTAGTCTCTTGGTGAGCAGACCTAAACTACAGTTTCAGGGAGGTGGGACTTCAGGCGCCTGTGAAGGGAACCAAACACAAGGCAGTGTTCCTTGTGCTGGAGACCCAGGGACTAGCCTTGATCATAAGCATAGACTTTAAAGACTAGGAGACCAGGACTTGGGGTCTGGTGTAGCCACTTTCTGGCTGTGACTGGTCATTTAAACTCTTTGGGAT